GTGACGAAAAGGTCGGCGAGACGGTGATCGACCTCGAGAACCGCTTCCTGTCTCGATACAACTCTTACTGCGGCCTTCCTCAGACCTACTGCATGTGAGCAAACTGACAGCCCCCTTCATTTGTATCATCTGCACATGCAGTGAAACATCCGAAGAGCTTTTATGGACAGGGATGAAATATGATTCTGTGTCTTCGAAGCTCTGGCATCAACCAGTGGCGGGATCAGCTGAAGCCGTCTCAGATCTTGGAGAACCTGGCCCGACTGAAAGGCCTGTCCAAGCCCAGGACAGAGGACAACGGCACGTCGCTCACGTTCAACGGAAAAGATTACACGTTGGCTCAGTTTGGTAAGAGATTAAAACGATGCAGGAAGAGGTCGCGCGTTTCAACCAAGTGATATGAAACTCTGTTTTGTCGTAAAGAAAGCAACACAGAAATTCACCAGCACCTGGGCCCGCCGCGGGAACGCCTCTGTCTGCATGTCCTCAGAACACAGGGACTCGTTCCTGAACATGTGGAGAGCAGGACCCTCTACAGCTCCTTCCAGCCAAATCTGTCTCAGGTTAGACAGCAGTTACCCAGCAATCCAATCATGCAAGGCTTTTAAAGTTGTTTTATTAGTAAAAATCAGAAAGGTTTTTACTCCATTTATTTTCAGCCCCTTAAGAAAATTCAGTGCAGACTCAGTAACTGCATTTCTATTACCAATGTGCAAATCTGTTGACTATATTCTGTATAATCCTCCTGTCACTTCCTGAAGTCCTAATAACGACACTAAATTTCATGGTCATGTAACAAATGTGAAGGATTATTTTGGTATGACTACCTTGACAAAAAAAATCTAATCTGAATATAGTCAAATTACATAATGTTTTCTGTTAAAGGGAAGGCTTCAGATGTGGGTAGATGTCTTCCCCAAAAGCATTGGGCTCCCTGGTCCTCCCTTTGACATCACACCCCGCAAACCCAAAAAGTAAGTCGCCAATGTTTCTCCCTCACTGAACGCACAATGACGCCGCCGAGCTGACCTGACCTTACGACCTGTGCTGATGTTCAGGTTCTTCCTGCGAGTGGTCATTTGGAACACCACCGACGTTACTCTGGATGAAACCAGCATCACGGGAGAAAACATGAGCGATATCTACGTGAAAGGGTAGGCTACAGTCAGTTCTGATGGCAACAAGAACCTTATTGGCTCTTGTTGATGGCAACAGAAAGCTTGTGGTCAAGGTGTTGCTCACACAGTGACATTTAATCAACTATTATGTTCTTTTGAGACTGAATGTAGAAAAACTTCCTGAGTCAATTCAAACCTGTTGGCCTAGTATTTCTCTAAGTGTTGGCTGTTGTCCAATCAAAGCATCAAAGGACATGAGTGTACAAGTTCCATTATTCTCTGTGGCAGCTGGATGCCGGGTATGGAGGAGGACAAACAGAAGACTGATGTCCACTACAGGTCTCTGGATGGAGACGGAAACTTCAACTGGCGGTTTGTCTTTGGCTTTGACTACCTGCCAGCTGAACAGCTCTGCCTCGTTTCCAAGAAGGTAAGGCGTGCTTAAGGTTTTCGTAAAGTGGACCGGCTTTGTTGAATGAATATAACTGTGTGTATTCGTTCTGCATCAGGAAAACTTTTGGAGTCTTGACAATACAGAGTTCAGGATTCCTCCCAAGCTGCTGCTTCAGATATGGGATAACGACAAGTTCTCATTGGACGATTACTTGGGTAAAGGCCCAAAACTGCACCTTGTGTCACACAGTTTTTACATTCATAACTGTGGAAACTACAAAACTTGTTGACCCTTGTTTTCAGGCACGCTGGAGCTGGATTTACGCAAGCTGGTCCCTCCTGCCAAAACTCCAGAGAAATGCTCCCTGGACATGATGGACAATCTGGAAATCGGAACGCCAGACAAACTGACGACTGCCAAGTCTCTGTTTGCTCAGCAGTCAGTCAGAGGCTGGTGGCCCTGCTCCATCGAACAGGACGGGAAGAGAGTACTGGGTGTAAGCATGCATTGTTTCTTTAACAAAATTGCATTGTAAGACAAATTTGTGAGGAGTTTGAATGAAGGATAAAAATAAATCCTTGAGGTGTAACTCTAACCGTGCTGGTAAAAAGAGGACCAGTGAGGTTTGTAGAGCAGTTTTTGATGAGAATCTGTGAACAGACTGGTTCAAACTGAGTCCTTGTTCACGTTTTCATCTCGGCAGGGTAAAGTGGAGATGACGCTGGAGATTGTGAGTGAAGCAGAAGCAGACGAGAGACCTGCAGGAAAAGGACGGGACGAACCCAACATGAACCCAAAGCTAGACTTTCCCAAGTAAGACGGCACCGAACCAAACTGTACAGAATGAGATGGGTTTCAGTTCAAACGCTCAAACGCTGCTTTATTCCCTCACCAGACGTCCAGAAACCTCTTTCTTCTGGTTCACTAACCCCTGCAAGACCATGAAGTTCATTGTATGGAGAAGGTTCAAGTGGGTGTTCATTGGGCTCATCATCCTCATCATCGTCGTGCTCTTCCTCGCCATCCTGCTGTACTCTTTACCAGTAAGAACAAATTGCATAACATGAAAGTATATGTCCTTTAATAACCACACTATTTCTTTTTTGGTCATTTTATTCTTGATGTATATATATTCAGTGAGTTTTACCCAAACTAGTTCAACCAAATCTGTTTTGAATAATTTGTTAAACTGAGTACAGTAAAGGCTTTCACATAGCCTTTGCGTGTAATATGGCAAACATGTATAGTCATAACCTGCAAAAAAATATGCAGAGTTTTTCAATTAAAATACAGCATGATTAGTTTATTAATCACTGCAGACATTTCTGTGTTTTTTTTTTTTTTGATCTGGCTGCCTATTACTTTTGACTTGGTCATTTTGACCCACGTGACAAAGTTTGAACATTTGATCCAAGTTGAGCATCAGCCCTGCTGAGACGAATCTGTAGTGAGGTTTCAGTGATATCTAATTCTACCTGAAAATCTTTCTACATGTCTTTATGAAAAATGCTCCACATGATACAGTCCAGGTACCGGAGCGGTGCTGACCCGTCTCAACTCCTGTGTTTCAGAACTACATCTCCATGAAGATCGTGAAGCCACTCCAGTGACAGCGGATCGCACCGACTGAACACTCAGCCAAACTAAACAGGTTTAGCTTCTATTTTCACAGCTGACAGTCTTTTATTATTGAGGAGGGTGTTTTTGCATATTTGCACTGTTACCATAATAAATGTGTATTTGATGTAGACAACTTCAAGGCGACAACAATGAGACACTGTTGACGTCTCACGCTGCAATGCAGCCTAAAACCACAGGTGGTTGAATCGCTGTAATGTCCATGCGGTCTGAACACGGGTTCTGGTTCTATGTTTGTATGGAGACGATTTTCTCCACTCGGTCACTGAGATGGATTTAAGACGTCCATCACAAGTCATCCTTTCATTACAAGGCGTCTTCCTGACTTTTCTCATTGACGTTGTTGTGCCCAACCGTTCCTTCATGTCAGCCCCTTTTCTTTGAGAGGAATATTAAACATGTTTTGCATGAAAGTGAAATATTTCCAGAGGATTTGTTTGAATGAGTCACCAGTGGCACTTGCTGCTGTACCGCATCACTTTCACATGAATGGAAAACAATTTTAGAGGAAAAATAACAATAAAGACTCAAAGTTTCAAATAAAATCTCTATTTATTGTGCAAATATGACAGCAGAAGAGAAAATTAGGTTTGTTCTTCAGGATTTCTTTCATTACATTATGAGGAAATATTTGAGGCTGAACACTGGAGAAGATTTCAGCCACAGTTATGGACATTTTTACTATGACAGTGAAATTAAGCAGCTCGTTTAACTCTGATTTATTATATCTGCAGACAGATATGGGAAACTGATGGAGCTCAATGAAAAACTGGTTATAAGTTTCAAATTTTAAGTCTCAAAGATGCATGTTCATTGAAATTCAACTTAATTTATTAAAATATTCATTCAGCTTAGAGGTTTATGAATTGTGGCTGATATATTGTGGTTCTTTCATATCTCATTGCAAACCAGGTCTTGTTTTTTTAAATATGTTTCACATAGAGAAAGAATATGCAAAAGCAGCTCAGATGGTGCACTGTAAAAACAGTTTACTTGAAACGGAGGCTACATTTCTATTCAGAACCATCATCCTGTGTTTCATGGCTATAGGAGCCACCTGTCAGTTCCACATACAAATATGTACATCATTAGAAAAGTGCTCCAGTATTTCAGCAAAGTAATTCATATCTACATACAGAAATAGACAAACTGACATCTCTGGTAAAGATGTGTACAGACCTCTATTATGAACTCCTATATTGCAGAATATCACTAAAATGTGTAGAAAATATTCTAAGAAAGTCCACAAAAAGAAGTGCTTCACAAAATAATGCAACACATTTTATTTTTGTGACTCTTTAAGAAATGTCTAATTCATGACTTCTATGTTTTATGGGTGTAAATAGTGACAAACTATCCCAAACAGTCACAGAGCTGCAGCATGCAGTGGCATCTTGTGGTTGCCGTAGCAACCCCTAACATTACAAATGTCCGCATGCCAAGCTAAACTGTAGCTTTAGCTGCAGCCGTGTCCTCAGATGAGCCACACCTCATACAGCCCAGCCTGTTACCACCTCAGTACGGCGAGAGACTTGTGATGCTGAGGGCAAAGCATCCAGGGCCTGCCATTATGAACGCTTAGAAATACAACTTTCACATCTTAAATAGAATGGTGGTGAACTCAAGTGGGCCATCAGGGGGGTAATGAGTCACTAAACAGGTTGAACCTTCTCTGTTCCATCAGACCGAAATTTGATAGAACAGCTGTGAGAATCTAGAGAAGCTGTTCATACACCCTGTGGGCTCCAAACATGTTTCAACAGAACAGGCGACAGCAGTTGTGCCAGTTATTTTGTAAACTGTTTATGTATAAATTTGCTCCTTAATAAAGATCAGACTTTTCTAAATGTTCTAAGTATGCCACTGCAATAATGTGACTTTATTTTAACGTTCTGTAAACATCTTTTTCTGGGGTTTAAGGTCGTAGCGGAGCTGCGGTTCCCTCCAGGGGGCGCTCTCTGCTGCAGGCATTACTCTTCCTCTGTGTTGTGCCGTTTGCAGCGCTGCCTCAGGAAAGCCTCCACCTCCTCTCTGCGTGCCAGGCTGTTGGCTTTGCCTTGGAAACGCCCGCTCTTCCCCGCCCCTTTTCCCTGGAGCAACTCCAAAATCCTGAGGAGAACAAAGGCGTCTTCAATAGTTCGTTTTTTTGTTTTTTTTTTTTTTTAAATACAATAGTAACATGTCAGAATCTCCTCCTACTGTGGGCCTAATTCGGTGACTTCTCCACTGGGTCCAGCGAGGAGAAACAATCCGGCTCCCTTTTCTTCTCCAACAGTGAGGAAAACCAGAGTTTCCTCCAGGCAAATAAAACAATTACTGCAGGATTATCAGGCAGGACTGAAGCAGACAGGTGGAGGTCTTACCTCTGTGTTTATTTCATTGGCGATGATGTTCATGAACTCATTGTCACCTTCTTTTCTGTAGTTAGAGGAAGATTTCAATTATTGAAATTTCTAATGCATTGCAAAGGTTTTTATTCATCCCCCCAAAGTTTGCACATTTCCCTGTTACGAACGCAAACTAGGGAAGCACTGATTAAAAAAACCAAACAAAAGAACCCCAAAACGATAACATTGCTACTATGGGCTGAAAAACGATATTTACTGAGATATCTCTATGCCATTTTAACATTGAAATATTAATCCACTGTCAAAGCTTCTGAGTAAGCCTATGGCAATAAGCAGTAATTTGATTGTGTGATAAATTGAAATGAGAGCAATAATGTGATATTGCCCTTTAATATGTTTGTAAAGCTTCCATTTTGAAAAATGCTGCAAACATTTGGTGCAAAGTAGTTTGTTAATTTTGTTGAGGGACTAAATAATCCATTTTATTTATTGTTTTGGTATATTTAAAATGTCAGGATCCTGTGTTAAAGGTACTTTTGAAATTACAGTTTGTTGACCTTTGAGAGGCTGTACTTGCATTATGCAATTAGCATTAGATTAATTGAAAATGGTCTCAAAATGCCAATATTATCATTTATCGCAATTTAAAATCGCAATAAAATCCCCCCATAAATCCTTATTTTCTGATTGTAATGAACAGTTTTCTATGTTGACCGTTTATCTTACTTGTGAAAGCTGAAGAAGTTTCCTCTCTGAGGGTTGTTCTTAAAGTCCCGAGCAATAAGGACGGCCATGTCCCGCAGCAGACTCAGGTTGCTCTGGAAACAGATTTTGATAGGTTGGATAAAAACTCAGCGCTGCAGCTTCAAATAGAAGCTGAACTCCTACCTTCTGTAGCATCTTGAAAGACTTCTGGATCTTCTCCACGGCCTCGACGTGCTCGTCTGGACCCGTCCTGTGGAGTCATGACCAAGACTATGTCTTCATCTCTGAGCTTTGCATTGTGGGAATTCTTCACACATGTCAGTTTGAACCTACTTCAGGAGAGAGACCAGCGCTCGCTCTGTGCTGTAGCTCTTCTCCGCGTACTTCAGGACTCTATTCCCTGTAAGGAAGATGAGGTTGGTTTTGTTTTTCTTTCCTTTCTCTGTTCCCAGCAGCTTTATGACCTAAGATTTAAAAAAAAAAAAATCATGAGAAGTTTTTATCGTAACCACCTCGGCTGATGTCTGAGTGATGGGAGTCACCTGTAAGTGGCTGAGGTTGGACACATGGGTTCCACAGCACATGTTGGCATCAATGCCCTCCATGTCGATGATTCGAATAGGCCCTGCGTGGTCGTCTGGCAGCCCCCGACTTCTCACCTGGCTTGCACAAATATCATGATCACGTTTCAATCACTGATTGAAGAGCTCAGTATCTACTGCTGTGTTTCCAAATCTGTCTGTATTCTGCTAATGTAATAAAAACTTTCACAATTGCAGTGTTTTTATTCAATGAGAAACTAAATTAAAATCACGTGAATAAGTTTGTTCGTGCGATAAGTCATGATGTCCGTCCCCATTGTGGTTTTGAAACAGTAACATACATTCATATTTCAGGCATAAGCTGAGACCTTGGCGTCTTATTCAGGTGTCGGAGCGACAAGCCCTGCCTACTTGGGAGCGGTTATGTATGCGCCGTTTTGGAGAAATTATAGTCAGCGATTTTACAGAAGACTTTTGGATTCAACACCTTCAAATATGCAGCATCTTTTGATGAACTGTGATGCTGTGAGAGCTCTGGTGGAGCCAGCTGAACATAGAAAACACAAAAACTATCATCCTACTACTACTTCCTGGGGTCTCCATCGTTTTTGCCAGTAGTAACATCCGACTGTTGTTGTGAAAAGTGTTTCTATTGCAATTTGTAAAATCCATCTGTTTCAATATGACCACTTACCCACTCAGGTCTTGTGCAAAAACTTAACAAAAATGTGTGTTGATGTGCTTTCATAAAGCAAACTTATTTTTGTAATTACAATTTGTGCAATTTTATGGTAAATGGAAACACAGCTACTGAGTACAGCCAGTGTGTGTGTGTGTGTGTGTGTGTGTGTCCGCACTTTCTCCACAGCAGGGTCGCTTAAATCAAGGAGTTGAACACTGACGGGAATCCCAGCTCGAATCTTTTCATTCACAGCTTCTTCCAGTTCCTGAAGCTGTGCAGCTTTAACTGATGGAGTGTCCAGTTCGATTGTGCTTCTGTGACGGCCCAAGTCCCTGAAGAGAGGGAGAGAGGAAATGACATCAGACCAGGGAAATGCTCAGGTGTCTATCGACGGTGAAACTGATCCGATGATGTACCAGGAAGTGGTCTTGTATCCAAACATTGCGTCTGCCAGTGCTGTGATTAAATGCTGGCCTAAGGAAGAAGAAAACTCTATCTTAGAACATACAACTTTTTTACGTTACAATCTCGGCTCACTGTGTTTCTTCATGGACAAATAAACAAATATGAAAATCTCACATCCAATCACGCCCAACTTCCTCATCCATTCTTTCCACCAGCCCAGTGACAACGCTACATTCACATGATGAGTCTAACTCATGCCTCTTACACATGGACTCTGGGTCATCTCTCAGTGTTCCTATGTTTTTCTTTTGCTAAATGGCTCTCTCTGTCAGGACTGGACTTCCTCCCTGACTTGTCTGCTGTGTTGCTCAGTCTCCGTGATGCTGTATTGTCACAAACCTCTGAGTCCAGAAACAGAACAGCTGGATTTATGCTGAGAATAATTTGGACACAAGTGGACAAAAGGAGAAAAATCCATACATTCTTGGCAGTGACGTGTGGTGAGGTTCACAGCTGGTGAGGCAAATATAAATTATTTTATCATTATATATTATTTTTTCATGATGACAGGTGAGCCTCTGCCTCCCCTGATCGCACGTCACTGATTTTTGGAGAGCATTTGTATCTCAGGGCAGTTAAAACCCTGCTGCCCGATCCTCCTCTTCCTCACCTGAGTGTTGCTGCATGTGATCAAACCTCCTCTCCCAGTTTACCGTCACACGCAGCTCCTGACCCACCTCCACAGGTGAGGTCACGAAGTGGACAGCATCCGGTCCCTGCCTGGTCACCCTTAAAACTGGAACCTCTCCAATCAGACCGTGGTCGTCTGGCTGTGAGAGCATTAAGAAAATAGCGTCACACACACACTTGCAGTGGTGGAGCAAGCTTAATGATGACCACGCTTACTTGTCCTCCTCCCTCAGGGAATAAGATTGTATCTTGGAGCAGGACATTAAAACCTTTAAGGGTTTCTTTCTTTCCATTCACTTCGTGTTTCAGTTCCGCAGGACAGCAGGACACCACAGAGGTGACAAACTGAAAGCGAATGAATGGAAACGGGTCAGCCAGCAACACTTTTCTATTTTTTATGGCAATGTTGCAATTTATTCAAGAGCAACACATTAAGTAAATGCTATTCACAATGAATATAAACACAGAATTCAAATAGACAAAAATCTTTAATTCTTGAAAATAAACGTGAAGTTAGCTTTAGCTACAGTAGTTTAGCAGCCATGCTAGTAGCGCCAGCAGGATTTAAAGGTTATGTTTCCGGGATGCTTAGTTTAGTTTCCGATTTAGAGACTCGTACCTCTTTCATATAACAGTCTCTCTGACACTGGAAAGCCATTCTGGGCTGTTTAAGAGGCGAAAGCTGAGTCTAAAAGTGGTGCAGACTCGTTTGAACATCCAGCGAACAGATGTCACAGAAGCACGGGTCGCAATGTGGTCCAAACTTAACTACTTCGAGTTTTCTTCTTTCGTCGGGCATTTCTTAAAGGAGCCATACCTGTCATTGGCTGGCACCTAGTCGGACTCTTCCTTTATCTATTTGCTTAGGACGAAACAATACATCAGTGTCTATCTGTTCAGTTCCATTCAAGAATACGTATTTTGTATAACCCCAGAGGTAAATTAAAGAAGTAACTAGTATAACATAAGTTAATGTTCTTTATCCTCAATGTTCTTCATTTTATTAAAAAAGTATTTCTCTGTACCACCATCTTCAGATCAATCAATCAATCAATCAAATTTTATTTGTATAGCACATTTCAGCAAGGCATTTCAAAGTGCTTTACATCATAAACACAAAAACACAAAGTCATGCAACATAGAATAAATAACACATTGTTACATATAACATTTCAAGTACAATTCTAAACAGATGTGTTTTTAGTTGAGATTTAAAGGAAGTCAGGGTTTCTACTGTTTTACAGTTTTCTGGAAGTTTGTTCCAAATTTGTGGTCCATAGATGCTGAAAGCTGCTTCTCCTCTTTTGGTTCTGGTTCTGGGGATGCAGAGCAGACCAGAACCAGAAGACCTGAGAGGTCTGGAAGGTTGATACAACAACAGCAGATCTTTAATGTATTGTGGAGCTAAACCGTTCAGTGATTTGTAAACTAACAACAGTATTTTAAAATCTATTCTTTGAGCTACAGGGAGCCAGTGGAGGGACTTTAAGACTGGTGTTATGTGGTCTATCTTCCTGGTTCTAGTGAGAACGCGAGCAGCAGCATTCTGGATCAGCTGCAGCTGTTTGATTGATTTGTTGGACAGGCCAGTGAAGACGCTGTTACAATAATCAATGCGACTAAAGATAAACGCATGGATGAGTTTCTCTAGATCTGGCTGAGACATTAGTCCTCTAATCCTGGAGAAGTTCTTCAGGTGATAGGAAGCCGACTTTGTAATTGCCTTTATGTGGCTCGCAAGGTTCAAGTCCGAGTCCATCACTTCTCCCAGGTTTGGGGCCTGATCACTAGTTTTTAGTTGTAATAACTGAAGCTGTGCATTGACTATAGATCTATAGCTCTAGATCGTTCCTCTTTAGGTCCAAAAACAATGGCTTCAGTTTTATTTTTGTTCAGCTGGAGAAAGTTTTGGCACATCCACACATTTATCTGTTCTAAACATTTATTCAGTGATTGGATGGGTTCAGAGTCACCTGGTGACATCGTGATGTAGAGCTGTGTGTCATCCGCATAGTTATGGTAGCTAATATTATTTCCTTTTATAACCTGAGCTAGTGAGAGAATATAAATATTGAATAAGAGGGGGGGAACCTTGGGGTACCCCACATGTGACCTTTGACCTCTTTGATGAGAAGTTTCCAATTGAAACAAAGAAATCCTGTTCTTTATGTAAGATTCAAACCAGTCAAGCACCGAACCGGAGAGTCCAACCCAACTCTACAGTCTATTCAGTAATATGTCCTGGTCGACAGCGTCAAAAGCTGCAGTGAGGTCCAACAGAACCAACCTTCTTTATTAGCTTTTAGAGCTGTAAGTTCCTGGATCTGATACTGCTGCCCCAAAAGCATGTGAGAAAAGATAACAGATTTATAGAAGATATGCAGCATTTTGTTAACAGGTCACTGTTGAAAATGAGACCTTTGACCTCAATCACTTTGACCGGTTAAACAAAAAGACACTAATTGATTCCTCATAAGACAAATTCTGCTCTGTCTCTCTGGTGTCAAGTTCAGTCTGTTGTCCAGGTGAACACCAACAACAACTACTAATCGTCGAGTAGTGACAATAATATTTGCTCTAACTCTGTTTCTATTGAAATTTACAGTAGATGACAGGAGTCTGACTAGTACTGGACATCTGTCCAGATTGAAAAGGAATATTGGAAGTACAGTGCCCTGAGATACTATCTCATTATAATGAGATTTTTTTTTTTTTTTAACAGGGTGGCAGAAACAAAACGGGCTTCCATACTATATAAAGCAAAAATATCCCTCTTGAATATCTTCAATGCTGAATATCTTCAATGCTGAATATCTTCAATGCTGCCATCTTCTGGCGTTAACAAAAATGCCATTCTTTTCCATCTGCCTTTTTCAGCGCGTCCACTTTATCTGTTGACTGTTCATTTATAAAATATAACCGAAAATACGGACAGAACATTAACATCATACACCACAAAACACAAATAAGCACGTATGGAATAATTTATATATAAAAAAGCATGTAACACAATTTCACAACAATTCTCACAAGCATTTTCACAGTATTTAAAATCCAGGGCTGTTTTGGAAAATCAGTCTCCAAAAACCATCCTGAAGAGCCATCTGTGTTAGTCAGACTGCAAGAGAAGAAAATAGATATATGTCTGAATACATATTCGTTAGAATAATTGTAATTTTTTCATATTACATTATGAAAGCTGCCATATTCCTCTGCTTACATCACTGAGGTCCCCCATGTCCGGTATGGCTCCTTTGTTTTCACTGGCCATTTCTTGAATCATCTGACAAAGAAAAAATCATATCCAGGAATTTGTTGCATGTTTGTAACAGACTGATGAATCTTTTCACATTTCATCATGCACTGTAAAAAGAAAACAGTCTAGAATTTTACGGTAATTTAGAGATGTTTCTTTACAGTGTACTCCATATACAAACTTTTATGTGACAGAGCAACACAATGTAGTCCTAACTGTGAAATGGCAGGAAGATACAATTTTCAAAAGTTCTTTTAGAAATATTTTATACGTAAATAGGCTGGATATAAGCCACAACCTCCAGATTCTATTTCGGATTCCTAATGAAATACCATAAAGTCCATAAGAGAAAATTTAAAATTTCATGTTCAGATGTTAGAGTTTCCAGACGAACTGAGATTGAACTCAGCTGCTAAGTAGTTGCAGTTCTAATTGCAGTGAAAATATGGTTCTGATAAATGCTTGGGCTGAATCCAAATACATGCTACATGCAAAATTTTGATATGTAAAGTAAGTGTCATTTCCTTCAATTTTAAAAACCTGCTCTACTCTTTGCTGGTCTATTGCAGGTTTCAGCAAACTTTATAACCCACAGGGCAAGTTTGGAGCTTTTTCTTAATAAACAAAATAATCTGTAGTCATATGAGAGGATTTTTTTCAATTTTATGGACACCTACTATATAAATAGCTTATGTTTTACAGTTAAATTAATTAAATAAAAATGTAAATCTAACTTTTAACAACAAAGAACAACTTCAAACTCTAATGAGGACAATAAACATGTTTTCTTGACTGAAATTTAACTTTTTGCAGCCTAATGACTAAAAGACAAAAAGAAACAAAAACATGATGAATTCCTGGTATCACTACTCCCTTGTGGAAATTTTGAGCAAAGTATAAAAAATACCCAAAATATTTTCCTACATTTTTTTTAACCTTTATATTTTTGAATATTTCTCAGATCTTTATACATTTATGGCTAAAATTATGAAAAGCTACACATGGCCCCAGAGCTGCAGCAATGCAGAGGCCTGGTCAGCTGCATAAAAACCTAATAAAATTCAACAGGATTTTGTGTTGCAACGCTGCAACATGTGAAAACAGCTTAAGCAGAGTGTGGGGCCCACTCACATCCATGTACTGGTCATACTCTGCCTTTCCCTCGTCTTCCTCGTGCTCCCAGTCTCTCCAATTATCAAAGTCTACGGAAATCCAGCTGGGCTGCAGGAGGAGCAACAACAGATTGTTAAACACACAACTCAACAATACAAATGTGTCACATCAATTCAATTTGTGCGATATGAGAGCTTTTTTACTGCTGCTACCTTTGCAGGGTCCTTCTGGAGACGAGGCCATGCAACGTCTGGTTTCACCTTTCTGAGCAAGACGTTGATGGTGCGTTCATGCACTGTCTCTCTGGAGTCCTTGAAAGTGTTGAAAGCATTTCCAGGTCTACATTTAAAGTTGTGTTTCACACATAATATAACAAAGAAGTTTCAAAAGGTGAATGCTTACATGGATTTGGACTTTGTCATAAAAGTGTAGTTCATTGTAGAAGACGTCATCTGTGTCATTTTTGCAGCTGTTTAACAGATAGAAGTTGGGTTAGATGAAAACCGTGTGCGGTTATCAACAGAGTAAATTATACAAACCCACCACAAAATCATTTTGTCTGGCTGGATGTCCACTTGGACATCTGTCGGCTTTTGAACAGCAAAGTTAACGGTGACGTATTTCTTCCTGTCGAACCACAGCGCATGTGCCGGCTGACTATTGAGACACAGAGTCAGTGATGATTTGTTTTATCGGTGTGAAGATTCAAACCCAAAACAAAAGTTCACGCGTGAACAGCTTTTTCCTACTGCACACTAACAGAAAACCAACACCTACCTTACTTCTGGTCTTACAATCTTTGGTTTGTTCATTCTGATTCCTGGAAAAATACAAAGAGCAGCTACTTCTTTTATTTCTTTAAATCACAGAAAAGTAAAAGGCTCGTGTCTCTAGTGTCACGCTGTACGCTCTAACGCAATGACCAGGCCCAAGAAACTATAAATAGAATAATATCAGCTGCTGGGAGTGAGACCACCCACTGCCCCCTCTCTGCCCTTTATAGGCTGCCTGTGGAATACTCCGGAAGGCACAAGCAGTTTCTGGGTTCTACAACACTTCACTCAACCCCCATCTAATCCCCCACTACCCAACCGGGCAGAGCAGTTGGGAGATTTAGGCCAAAAATAACAAAAACAGCTATTAAACTTTGGTGGTACAAAGAGGCCAATGATTATTCACATAGAAAATGGAGCGCCATCACGCTGTGAAACATGCATTGAGACCAGCACACAGAAAAAACATTTTTAGTCACACATAAACTCAAGTTTTAGACTCTTGAGTTTTAAACTCAAAAGAAGAATTTGTGTTTGATGGAAAATGACTGAAAATTCTGCGTTACTGTTTCAAAAATACATATTTGAAAGGCCTGCATAAAGCTTCCAAAGGGTAAGCAATTTTTCAGTTTTGTTTTCATCCTCCCAGTTATCCCAGTGACACATGACACACTTTAGAGGGCAGCATGGTTTGCCCAGGTCTGTGCTGAAGTATGAGGCTGAAGTTGCAACTGTGGAGTTTGTCAGTCTTGTGTCATTGAAAATTATTGCCAATGAGTCAGCAAAATGTAGAATTACATTCTGCATAATTACTGCATACTTGCTGCACAGTAGCACTGTTGCCTTGCAGCAAGAAGGACCTGGGTTCGATTCCTGGCCTGGGGTCTTTCTGCACGGAGTTTGCATGTTCTCCCTGTGCATGGTGGTTTCTCTCTGGGTACTCTGGCTTTCTCCCACAGTCCAAAAACATGACTGTCAGGTTAAATGGTCTCTAAATTCTCTCTAGGTGTGAGTGTGTGTGTGGATGGTTGTTTGTCTTGTCTGTCTCTGTGTTGCCCTGAGACAGACTGGTGTCCTGTCCAGGGTGACCCTGCCTCTTGCCCAGAACTTTAGCTGGAGGTAGACACCAGAACCTCCAGGGACAACGGTGTAAGACCATCGCAAACAACACTCCATGCCAGTAAGTGGCGGTAATCCTATTAACAATTTATTGCCAACCGCGAATAAAACCAACAAGAAGAAGAAAGAGAAGCAGAAGAAGAAGAAGAAGCCCCTGCTGGTATGGAGGCCTGTTGCTTTCGTCACCGGAAATGTAATTCCCTGTTCAGTCTGGGTAGGGATGTGGCGCCAGACTACCCGGGCGAACACAAACAAATTCATGACAATAATCATTAAATAGTGTCTCCCGTCCTTTGTTTCATTGTAAATCAATAGGAAATTTCTGCTTGTTGCTCCAATCTGAGTTGAAAAAGCGTCAATCAAAGGAGACATGCCGCGCACACGACAGGTAAGAAAACAGATACAGCGCCTTGGTAAACACGGTTAGCATTAGCAGAGTTAGCATCAGAGTGCTCCATTCTCCAAGCGGAGAGCTAGAAGGTTCCGCGGTGTTTTGTGTAATAAGTCAGTGATTTGCCACCCTGAATCAAACTTTAGCTACTCATTCAACCAGACAGCGTCAAAACGGCCATTTTATTTGCTTTTCCGTAGTTATGTTTAGCTTTTGTCAACGTTTTCAACCAATGGTGCTATGGTATAGCCTGTGTGGGCGGTATAAACAGAAAACCCATATGCAACATTTAGGGTTTGGTACTACCACAATACAGACAGGCATCTAGATTATATTAATGTGGATTTTATCCAAGATAAATCGGCATTAAGTGAACTTGTATAGTCTTATTAACTGTACGCCGTTAATATTGTGTTTTAGAAGAGTAAATCCAGGATTAGGCAGCAGGGCTAACGGCTAACTACCATAATAATGGGTTACGGAGCTAACAATGCATACCGCTTGGTCTGGTAAATCACTGAGACGCATTTCGGGGAAATTTAAATGAATGAAACAACTGTTTAGTTTTGTGGAAATTGCCAATTAGTTGCAGGTTGAATCCGTAAACAGACAATCAAGCAGCTGATGGTTCCTGTCCAGCTCCATGGCAACACAATGCGTGACAAAGATCAAGTTTGTATGAGTGATGAAAGGATCTCAGCAGTTGGTTCACTAAATTAGAACATAAAGGTTTTTTATATCCGTGTCATAAACTAAGCTCTTTAAATGTTTATTCTGATCGGTATTCTGAAAGGTGTGTGTTGTATTTCTTCTGTCCTGTTCCACCTGATTAAAACACTACATGATAAACTATAATGCAACAACAGCTGGAGGCTGGTAGTGAAGGGTCAGTAACTGTTAGGTAATTATGATCACTTTATTCCTTCCTCCCTCATGTGGACTTAATTCCCCTCTTTCTTTCTGTTCTACCTACACGTGTCCTACCTCCCTGGCATACTTCCTTTTTTGTTTGGTGTCCTTCCTCCCTTCTGCCCTTGTTCCCTTTCTTGTGTTTTTCTCTCCTCTGTCCTTCCTATTTTTGCAGCCTCTCTATCGTTGTATTGTTTGTTCTTATTTCTTTGTGAACTTCAGAATGGGCAGTAAAGAATGGGCAGTCTGGAAAGTTTGGAACCCTGGCTTTCAAATGAATGAGGAACTCTGTCATCAAAAAGGGAAAATGTTCATAGTGATTACTCCTGCTGTTCAGATTGTATAATATTTAATTCACAGTGTGGGTTTTATGCTGTTGAGATTAAGGCACTTCATCCTATAATCTGTCATATTGCTCATATGTAGCTAAACCAAGCCAGTAGCATAAACACCAATCAAACATTCAGAACACAAATTGCAGTAGCATTAACAAATCTAGGTAGAGCAGGAAATAAAGTACACCACAGGGTTTCTTTGGAGGTTAATTTTCTCTCTAATTGTTATAAAAATAGTTTGTGTTTAAACACAGCTTAAATTTAAGCTGCTTTCTCTTGGCAGAGGCCTTTGACTGGGAGTGTGTCTGATGGAACTGAAGACTCCGACTCCTCGGCTGAACGGGAGCAGACCAACAGTTCAGAGAGCGATGGAAACATGCCCAAGAGACAGCGACTCACCAGAGCTTCTACCCGCCTCAGCCAGAGCTCTCAAGGTGGGCTATTATCTCTAGAAGACAGAAACTGAACTATTAAAACTGATACTTGACTTTGTTTCCGTCCTTCTCTCATCAGACACTCCAGATCTGAAGCGTGCTGCGGACCATGACGAATCACCACCGCTCACACCCACTGGAAACGCCCCGTCCTCTGAGTCCGAGCTGGACATTTCCAGCCCCAACGCGTCTCATGATGAGAGCCAGTCCAAAGATCAGGCCAACAGGGACTCGGACAAGGACCTGTCCCATCGACCCAAGCGCCGGCGCTGCCATGAGACATACAACTTCAATATGAAGTGCCCGACACCCGGCTGTAATTCCCTTGGTATGAGTTCAGCTTTGACGAATATTTTTCTACTTGGGGATCTTTTACAGTACTCTGCGTCAGTATTGGAATCCTTGATAAACAGGCAAAACCTTAAAATAACTCAATCTTTTCTAGTGGTTGCATAATCTCAGACTGGAATAAAACCTGCCTTTTAATATTTGTGGCCACAAAAAAAAATTTTTTTTTGCACAAACTTATTTTGCTTATAGGACAGCACTGAGTTTTCTCTTACCAGCAGTTTGGAGCAGATCTATGGTTTGGATCATCTCCAGACCAGGAAGAATCCTGGAGCCTCTGCTCTGCTGCCTTCTGTTTATCTACAACTAAAGAGAAGAAAACAAATACTGTAATAATTGCAGTAGTTACAGTTACATTCATCACTAAAATCATTTATAGAAATGAAATAAAACAACAAAATCAACCTGGCAGAATCCATGTCATCTTAGGTTAAACACATAATTAACTATAGTGTAATATATTCCTTTCACAGCAGGAACTTGCATTGCTTGCAGTTCCCAAAAACATGTTTTATCTGTCCTTTAAAATTCAACAAAAGTATTTAATTTCTCTTCTGTTTCTCAACATGTTATTATTCTTTTAAGATTCTGATAATCGACTTATTTCTCATATTAGACAGAAATCGTAGAACCGTTTGGTGTGTATATGCTGCTGCTGATTCAGATGTTTTGTGTTCCATTCGTTTCTATACCATCACATCCTGGTTTGATTCTAATCATCAGCCTCCGTTTCTTTGATTAGGCCACCTCACTGGGAAACACGAGCGCCATTTTGCTATATCAGGGTGTCCTCTCTACCACAACCTCTCTGCTGACGAGTGCAAGGTGAGGTTAATGACCAACATGGTGTCTTGCGTGCAACTTGATTAGAATTGGTAGTTTAAATGAGTAAGGCAGCACATATGATCCCAGTGAGCTTTAAATCTTCATCTTCTCTTGCCAGGTGAAAGCCGTCAGCCGTGAGAAACAGGAAGAGGAGATGAAGACGCAGGACGAAGGCAATTCACGGCACGCAACTCGCCACCAGGTAGTCTGGATTATTCAGCACCGCTTAGCGTATGTCACAAGGCGGTTGCCATGTATGCAGAAAAAGTGATGTTTGTTTTTGTTCCTGGTCTCTAGACGCCAACACCCAAACAGAGCAGATACAAGGAGCAGGTCGCTGAGATGAGGAAGGGCAGAAACTCTGGGCTGCAGAAGGAACAGAAGGAGAAGCACATGGTATGTTAGCGACATGTGGTCCAACCTCCTATGTGTTTAAAGCTGGTATCGCTGCTTCGTTTTAAAGAGTTGTTGTGAAACCACCGCCTCACTTCCTGTTCTGTCGCCAGGAACATCGGCAGACGTACGGCAACACCAGAGAGCCTCTGCTGGAGAACATCACCAGCGACTACGACCTGGAGCTGTTCAGGAAAGCTCAGGCCCGCGCATCTGAAGACCTGGTAATGCTGTCTGCTTAAAGGGCCAGTATCATGTCAGATCCACGTTTTTGAGCTTTACGTCATTTATAATGTTGTTCCTTTATGAAATCAAACCTGGAGTGTTGCTTTGATGCTTTCATGCATTTTTGAGAAAACCATTCAGCCGTGTAAAACCCAGGCATTTTACCGAGCCCCGCATTAACCCTGCCTTCTAGACACAGCTCCTCCTCAGAGCTGCAGTTTCCAAGCTTCTGAACTTTCGCTTTGCTTCACAGATCAGTCCTCCCCCACTCAGTTCCTCAGACTAGCCAGCAGCAATTAGCAAACATCTGGTATCACTTTTTGTTTGCTGAGCTCTTTATAAGAACTACTTCTCAGAGCAAAGCTGCTACAAATGTTGTTAAAGGTTTAATAGAGGAGCCATGCTGTGCTGACTTCCTGAAGGTGGAGCTTTTAGAAAGAGCACAAGCTTCTTAAAGAGACAGAGGCTCAATTTTAAGCCATTAAATTATGAAGTCAAATTTCTCTTAAGTGACATTTGATATATTCAGCATTTTTATAACAGAGGTAACAAGATTGTGGTCTGAAATAATACCATGTGGTGAAAAATACATAATACCGCCCCTTTAACTAACCATTACATTCAACCCCCAGCATTCACAGTACAGCCCCAGATTATCTAACACACACAACCTTTAAAAGATGAGTTTGTTCTGGTGTTTTTCGTTCTGCAGGAGAAGCTGCGTATCCAGGGTCAGATCACCGAGGGCAGCAACATGATCAAAACCATCGTATTTGGTCGCTACGAGTTAGACACCTGGTACCACTCGCCCTACCCCGAGGAGTACGCACGCCTGGGCCGCCTCTACGTCTGCGAGTTCTGCCTGAAGTACATGAAGAGCCAGACCATTCTGAGGCGACACATGGTGAGATTTCCAACAACACAGAACAGAGCGTTTCTCACACAGGATGCCATAATATTCTTGAGTTTGTCTCTAAAGCTTAGCTGAATATGCTGAACATTTTCTGTATATGTAGAGTTTTTTGTAATGATGCTCTGGCTTCCTATATCCTCTGTTATCAGGCTAAATGTGTGTGGAAACATCCTCCGGGAGACGAGGTCTACCGAAAGGGCTCTATATCTGTGTTTGAAGTGGATGGCAAAAAAAACAAGGTGAATAATGTAACATTTTAATTTAACGTCTTTCTGTCTGTCCTTCTGTCATTTGTCCATTTGTCTGTCTATTTATCCATTTAGTATTGTGGGTTTTTAAAGAGACAGAGGCCCAGTTTCAAAGTGTTAAATTACAAAGCCAAATGTATTTTCAGTTGTGCTATGTGTGCTTTAAAAAGAAGCTGAATAAGGTAATTCTAGTCAGGTCTGATTGAGAGGAGAGCCTCACTGCTCTCACCATTCTATACATGGCTGTTGTTTACATAATGAGGAAACTTGGAGTGACTAGACCCTAAATAAACACTGCCATTGTTGTCATTAAGAAAAAGGTATTTTACAGCACAAATACTAAGATGCTAAAGTATCAGCTCAGAGGAAGCAGGTTTTCCTCTAATCCTCTTCCATCCTGTCTGTGGCGTCCATCATGTCTGCTGTGACAGCTGATCGAACACACAGCCTGTTAATGAAGCTCCATTAGTTTGCCAGACTCCTGGTGTTCTCTATGAACGTCAGACTGGAAAAACAAGAGCTAATAATCCTCATTGAAAGCAGGCTTACTGACAAAGTTTCATTAAAATCAGCTGGTATTTATTCTGTATATTGCTTTAGTCTTCCACCACTGCTTAAAATTGTAAAAAGAATCAAATAAAAACATCCATCTGTCCCTGACTTCCTGCCTTCCAACATTCCATCCTGCTAAAGTTCAGCTTATGACATGAGGACAGCATAGGAATCCTGAGGGAATGTATTCCTTTAACAGTCAGTGTTGGTTCTGTTCTGCCCAGATTTACTGCCAGAACCTGTGTTTACTGGCCAAGCTCTTCTTGGACCACAAAACCCTTTACTACGACGTGGAACCTTTCCTCTTCTACGTGATGACGGAGGCCGACAACACGGGCTGCCACCTAGTGGGCTACTTTTCTAAGGTAAAACTAAACTACTTCCTGTAATATTCTTTAAATATAAGCTTTATGGTCACATAAACTTAATGCTGGGCTGTTGCTTTCCCAGGAGAAGAATTCCTTCCTGAACTACAACGTTTCCTGTATCCTGACCATGCCGCAGTACATGAGGCAGGGATTTGGCAAGATGCTCATCGATTTCAGTACGTAGATGCACCTGGGCTTTTCTTTTAGTTCTTTATTATTCATGAAACAATTGCTCCAATAGGAGACAGTGGGAATAACCTGTGAAGCGGTTTTGTTTTGCTTGTTGCTGTGTCACTGACTGGGCCTCTGTGTTGTCCAGGTTACCTGCTGTCCAAAGTGGAGGAGAAGGTGGGCTCACCGGAGAGGCCTCTGTCCGACCTGGGCCTCATCAGCTACCGTAGCTACTGGAAGGAAGTGCTACTCAGATACATGCACAACTTTCAGGGCAAGGAGATCTCCATCAAAGGTGACGTGTTGGGCAGTTTTGGATTCTCTCTCCATAAAGTCCTAACAGTTTATACAGGCACACCTAAATGAATTAGAATAGCATTAAAACCTGAGTTCATTCAGGTCCAGACATAAAATACAGATTGATTCCACACAGAGATCTTATTCCAAAAAACGATTCTTAATTCAGAACTGTTAGCATGCTGAGAAGTATATAATATAATGTATTCTAATTTGCAACTATTAATGCAAATTCTCTCATTGTTGACATATTTTGCATACACTTTCAGTTTTCACCAGTAATAAACGATAATGTTGTTGCTTTAAGACCATTTTCAACTAATATGGTGATAATGATGCAAGTTTACTCTCTCAAAGATCAATAATCTTTAATTTCTAACATTTAACATTGGAACTGGAAGACATTTTAAATAACCAAAATATGACGCAACCAAAAAGAATAAATAAAGCTGAGATGGATGCCACACACAACTGAAAGCATAAATAAAATGGATGTTGTAAACAAAATTGCCCTTCCGAAAAAATATTAATCATCAGAATGGAAATTATTGAGCTAATTTTTCTTTGTCCTGTGATGAATCCATCTATTTCTTATTATGACAGGATTTCATAAATCTGCCCAATCACCTTAGCGGTTTCTATATTTCCTTTTTTCCCTGGCTGAATGTTAACCAATCCTCTTTGCCCTCTTTCTAATTTAACTTCCTGTTTCACATTTTCATTTTAATAACAGAATTTTCGGCCTCTGAGCAGGTAAAAAACTCTGAGGTTCTGCCATCTTTGGGTCAGGAGGAAGTATAGTTCATCGCAATAATGTCTGGGATCAGTTATTGTAAATAAATTTAACATGACAGGCCCAACCAGTTGAAACTAATTCTTAAATGCAAAATGTTTTATAGTTTTTGGTCTAGTTACTGGTCTGACTTTATTGTTCTCTCAGCAGCATTATTTTAAGTCCGTATACTCCAGTTAGTGATCAATGAATAAATTAGTTGGCAATTATTTAGTGTATTATTTTAATCCGATTATTTGGTTCAGCTCCAATCTAATCGTTTTTTGTTTTTTTTTTTAAACAGCTGAGCTTTGGGGATATTTTGTCAGCTGCAAGTAATAATCATCATGATATAGAAATCAAAATAAAAACTTAAAATGTATGTGAATGGAGGTACAAGGTTTCCCCCGGAAAAGTTGCTTATTCTGGTGGGTGGGACGCTCGGGCAGTCATTCATCCAGCCCGTCAGGTTTTTGAGTTAAAACATTTTTAATGTTGAAATTTGAAAATATCACTCGATAATTATGTGTTATTGAAAGACTGGAAGATCAAGTATAACGTCATAAAAAATCCAAACATTTTAAAAGACTTAAATAAATAAGCAATGCTTAGCCTGGTGAGGCACAAGTAAAGTCTGGTGGCCCGCCAGGCTTACATTACACTGGGGGGAAACCCTGAACCAGTCTCTAAACTAAATCATTCATGTAAGTTTGTATTGTGTGTTCAGAGATCAGTCAGGAAACGGCAGTGAATCCGGTGGATATTGTGAGCACCCTGCAGTCCCTCCAGATGCTCAAGTATTGGAAGGGGAAGCACTTAGTACTGAAACGACAGGTGAGATCAACTGGTTTCTACCTAGTGACACCAATTTCCTGTTCAGTTACCATCAGATTCTGTTTCATAAATGTGATTCCACCTGTTTGAGCGCCTTCTCCATTTCCTCCCAGGACTTGATCGACGAGTGGAAAGCGAAGGAGATCAAACGAGGTAACAGCAACAAAACCATCGATCCGAGCTCGTTAAAATGGACGCCTCCCAAAGGGACATAAAGCACAACACCCTCAGGCTACTGAACCTTCACTACCAGCCTCCAAAACCACAAGTAGCCTAAGACCTTTGACTCGTCAGTGAAGATCAGTGTTACTTTTCTTTTACTCGTGTATCCAGATCATTTCTCTGCATCTTTTTATGTCCGTTTCTATTCTCAGCATCATGAATTGAAGCATTTACAGCTAGAGGAAGAGTTTTTGTGTTTTTAAAGGGCCTTTGTCTCACTTTGTTGTGAATGTTAAATGGGTTGTCCTGGTCTGGTGGAGGGACATGAATGTTCCACTTTGCTCACAGATGAATTGAATACATAAAGACATTCGGCAGCATTTCCAGATTTCTTTTTTTTTAATTACAATTTCTTTCAAATAATGTGCATCATGAAGATGGTAATTATTCCTGTTTGGCATGGTTGGAAAAAAAAGCAGGGTGAAATTTTTTTACTAAAAAATATTTTTTATAGTCTTTGGTTGGTGTAAACGTTGTATAGATGTTTTTCTTTTTCCCCCATATGTCTGATTAGTACAAGAATTGCATCCATTCCTTTAGGGAACCTGCAAAATAAATGGGAAAAAAATATCAGATTTTTAGTTTAGAGAGGAAAAAAAGATATGATACTGAAAGTAAGCCAAGCTCAGGTTTTTTGTACTGCTGCGGTCATACCCTGCTGGGACGGTCCCTGTGGATGCCGGGTCTCTCTGGTTGCTGCAGAAGGATTCACTCCGCTCACAGACTCTGAAACAAACAGAACTCATCTGAACGGGACCACATGCGCTTGGTGATCCGCATCGCTTCTACGTGTTCATCCGCTTTTTAAAAACCGTCTACCAATAAAGCTGCCTTGATATTTTCACCTTTCGCTTCACTTGTGTTTTTAACAGTTGCTCACCTCCACTGGAAACTCTTTGCCCCATCAGATCCATAAATGCAACCCCCATGTTTCCTACAAAAAGAAAAGAAAAAAAAAATTTCTTTAAAAACATTTTTTTTAAAGAAATCATTTTAGAAAATAATACTCTTAAAATAAAACTCTTGGAAGTTTGCACCAGCACACAAAAAGTCACGACAAAACCCCCCAAAATTAAAAAAATGAAATTGAGGGGAACAGATCATTAAAAAAAAGTGATATAAAAAAGAAGAGCTCAATTTACTCACGCCTCTTCACTTGAAACGGTTTCTTCGTCACTGTGAAGAAATCAAACCAGATCATCTGAATGATGCTGCAGGGTGAGATTTGTTGAAGAGATCAGATGCTACCTGCTCTTTTTCCCATCAGGCCGTAGAAGCGAAGAGCTTTGGATCTTTTCATCAAGCTGTCTATAGGGCTGCTGTCCACAGCAGGCTCATACTGCCAGAAAAATCAGGCATTGGCTTACACTTAATGATGCAAGAATCTTTAAAATAACTGAAATAAACCTGTCATTCTGACCTGCCAGTGTCTGGACAGCCTTCTCTCGTCTTCGACGCCACTTGCCGATCCTTTGGAAGTTTGCACCAGCACACAAAAAGTCACGACAACGAGCTGGATCTTCCAGTTCTCCATGTTTTAGTCAGGGAGAAAATGTTTCTGCTCAGGTTCTCAGCGATGTTTTAAATAAAACGCAGCGATGTCTGATGAACCAGTCTTCTGCTCCAGGCTGTATTTATGTCCTTAAACGCCCCTCGCTCTGCAACCCCTCCCCTTTAATCATAATTATCCACGCATCACGTTTTAGATGTGTAATGTTTCATAAATGTCACATTGATTCAGTTGTATAAGGTCTGGACTTTTTCATTCAGTCTTTACTGTTAGTAAAGGTGAAAATCTTTCATATGTTATATTACAGGTTATTTTATTCTGCTTTAGACAGTGTCATTTAAAGCTTTATAAACAGCAGGGAAAAAAATCATATCCGAACTCAAATATTTACTTTTTAAGCTCATTTCCAGTTTTATTAGATATTTGTAAATGCCTGACGTTACATAGCCAGTGGTTCCTTATGTTCATTGTTCCTTTAATCTCATGGAGACAGGCAGACGCCTGCCTTTGCTGTTTATATAATTTATCTTTACAGATTTTATTGTTCTATCGACTGACTTGGTCAACGGATGTCATCTGATCTGAAGTGTTATTCTGCTGTCATGATCAAATACAAGTCAGTTTATTTGAATGGCACATTTCAGCAATGAGGCAGTGCAAAGTTTACATCACGTGTTTTTTTTGTTGTTGTTTTTTTTAAATAATTTTTATCTGACTTTGTTTTACCAGAATCAAAACCAATTAAGACTAAAGCTTAATGGGTTAATAGAGGCAACAACAAAGCCAACATGAAAAAACAGGAAGAAAATTTCTTGAGGCAGATCTGTGAAAAAAAAATTAAGCTGAAGAAATGTCTGGAGAAATGCACCTCTCCATCCAAAAACAACCAATCAGAGCCAGGGGCAAGATTCAAGTGCTGTCAATCAACGTTATGCAGACACTGTTCAATGTGCTAATGGTAGATAAATAACTTATCTTTACAGGAAAACTGTTTATATCTGCTGTGAAAGATGGCCATGCTAACTAGCATTAGCATTCACAACAGGCTCTGCTGACCGGGAGAAGCTGTAGCATAACAGAGAGCAAGGGGACGAGTGAACAGCATGCACACGGGCATGATTGACAGCCCTCTGCAAATTCCCAACTCCCCCAAACTAGCCAGTAGAAATTAGCCAACACCTGGTGAACTGAATATCAGCTGAGCTCATTATAAGAGCTACTTCTCAGAGCAACAGTAAAAATGTTATTAAATGGTTAATAGAGGAGCCATGTTGTGATGGTGGAGTTTCAGAAAAAGCAGTTTTTAAAGCGACGGAGGCCCAATGTAAGGTGTTGAATTACCAAGTCATATTTCTTTTAGGTCATATTTAGTAGATATACAATTTTAATAAAAAATGAAGATAACATAGTAACTTGATTATGCTGTAAAATGGCACTATGTGCCTAGAAGATGCATAATACTGTCGCTTCTTCTATCACTGCAGCCACAGAAATTTCTAGAGAGGTAATTACGTGAGGATGTGTGTGCTGTGAGGACACCCACTTGAAACAAAGCTGACAACAAACATCAAATGCTTTGATCCCCACACAGGTGCTTCCACAAACAAGAAAAGCCTGCAGCAATTACACCTGAAAGGCAATTACACCTGAACAGCCCTTGTGTGCATGTGTGTATGTAAGCGTGTGTGTATGTGTGTTCTTGACATGGAGAGGTGAATCAAAAGAAATCCCATCCGCAGGATCTGCATATGAAATGGCTGAGTCTCAAAAGAGGCCCTATAATGGCAGGACGCTGCAATTCAATGTGATGCAGTGAGAGGAGGTAGTGGGGGGCCATGTTCCCCGATTCTGATTCTCCTCAGAGAGCTGAGGCTCAACTTAACCTGAGCTTTAATTTCCTTCCAGATCAATTCACGGAGGCAAAGGAAGTACTGGTGAAGGGAATAGATGTCTGTCCTTCATGTTGGACATTCCTGACAGGTTGAGATTTTGTTTTAACCTGGTTTTTATATCCTCTTGGGGATCTGTCTACATTGTGGAGTTGGGGACCACAATGTCCCCTCAAAAAGCAGTGGGGACCACTGCTTTTTGAGGGGACATTTCTTGGTCCCCATGAGGAATGAGGAGAAACACTGTTTTTGGGTTTGGGGTTAGGTATGTGATGGTTCGGGTTAGGGTTAGGTTGTAGAAAATGAATATAAGTCATGTTCATATCCTTATTGAATGAACATCAGTCTCTACCATGACTGCTTGTCCTTTTTTAAATAAATCCCTGTTGATCTAATGGTTAGCTTTGAACCCTTCAGTCATCTGTTTCTCCTTTTAATTAGAAATGCTGTTCCACTTCTATAAATCTCTTCTCTCCTTTTACTCTGACATGCAGTGAGTCAGCTCTGTAGGCTTTTCTCATATTGCAGCTACAACACGGCCCTTAGTCTACTGTGTTTTGCTGATCATCACCAGAAAAGGAAATTGTACATGACAGATGAAAATATGAAACATCTGTGCATGGTTTTTCTCAGGCTGGAACTAATAGGAACCAGTGTCTTTTCTGTCGTTTACGGCTTTACATCAGCGAGTTTGTGTGACATCAAAAGGCCACCATGTTCTCTGTTTACCAGGGCTTCTCTGAAACCGACCGGCCCGGTTCTCAGACAGTGAAGTTGGACATATTTTACAGGTGACCAAAATCTGACAGAAGAATCCAAAGTTTGAGCTAACGTGGTATATTCACCTGTTTTGATAAAGTTCAGTCTCTCTGGACAGTTCTGATCAATTTCATTGTTTGAAATCCTTTTGGTTCTAGCCTCTCTTCAGTGTCTCTGACTGGATCTTTCTAAACTTGCCAAGGTCAATAATATTAATGACATAACAAAAAAGATTCTGTTGGAATTGTAGTTGCAACAGATCTACAAATCAGGTGAATTCAAATAAATTTTACTCAGTTCAGTGTATCCTAAAGGGAAATTAAATGTTGTAACTCATCATCCAGGAATCTTTAAAGACTAGCAGTAGAACGTGATGCTGTGGGAAGGAAGAATATCAAATAGCAGTCAGTCTTGTAACAAATCAGAAAATCCTCTGACTGAAGACTGTTTCTGTATGACAGTCTCATGACTTTGATGACATCCTAAAAGCTCAAGTGGCAGCAGAGACGAGATTCCACAGCAGCCTGTCTTGGGTGACGCCACCAGCTGTTAGCAAGCTCTGCTAATCTGCCTCGTTTGCTTTTGCTTCTCTTCTTTAATCCTCTGTCTGGTCATATGGTTAGAAAGCCGAGCAGACGTTGGAGTTTAGAGCCTCCTTCACTCTCTGCTCTTTGGTTCCTGCACTGCATCCATGAAGCCTCCTTTTAAATCTCTTTGGGAATTGATGTTGTTGTTCAGATACAATTTGAGCTTTTCAGATGCTAATCAACTGCTCCCAGTTGTAAAAACAATAATAACCAGTCATAGAAATGAAATAAAATGGGTCCTTGTCAATTGCAAAATTCATATTGTGCTTTACACACATACACACACGCCCACACACCCCCACCCACACACACACACACCCATACCCACGCACGCACGCATGCACACACACACCCGCACATGACTACTTTTCCAAGGAAGCTACCTGTTCACCGTCTTTTGCTGGAACTGAAACATCTTGACCTTCAATAAATTCAGCAAAGAAATTCAGGTCGATGTGAGGTTCTGGTTCAGGGAAGACTTTCCAAATTGTCTTCTTTCCTCTGCTGGGTAAAGATGCCTCATTACTTGGATTTTCCGGCAGAGGACCGTTATTGACGTCACCATTTTGTGTCAAAACCGTTAGATCCACACAAGCATCTGACTCGGGGAAAGATTTCCATAATAGTGGCGTCTTCTTGATGCGCTTCGTCTTTGTTCTCTGTTTCTCCCTTTTTTCATCCACTTTCTTCTGGGATTTGGAAATGGATTTCTGTTTGGTGACCAGCTATGTAGAAATCACAGATTCTTCTTTAAAAGACTCCTTTTTCAAGGAATCTTTCTGATCACCTTCTTCAGGTAGAGAAGTGTCCTGCTTATTAACACTTTCAGCACAAGACTTAAAGGACTGTTTCTTCTCTGGTGTCTCCTGCAGTACGGAGATCGATTCCTGTTTGGTAACAATTGAAGCGTCTTCCGATCCAGTACTTTCAGCTGCAGTCCTTAGATCAGCAGGTCCATGTTTCTCCAACCAGATATGAAATGGTATCTTTTTCTTCTTGTGGCGCCTGGTCGTTGGTGGCTGTTCCTTAGACTTAGAGGGCTGTTCCTTCTCTGCCATATCGATCGTCTCCTGCACTCTAGCGATGGACTCTTCTTCACTCACCAGTGACTCGTTCTGCTTTTCAATATTTCCTGCAGAAATCTCTTGGTCAACAGGGACGTGTTCCTCCAAGCAGGTTTTAAATGGTACCTGCTTCTTCTCATTGGACTCACTCTCAGGTGTCGGTCTGTCTCCTTGTTGATCCACTGTCTCCTGTGCTTTGGCAATCGATCCTTTTTCAACCACCAGTGAAGCGTCCTGCTGTTTGATATTTTCAGCAGAAATCTTTAGCTCCTCAGGCGCGTACAGCTCCCACCACACTGCAAATGACACCTTCTTCTTCTTGCGCTTGGGTGGCTTGGGTGGCTGTAATTCCCTTTCGACAATATTGTTGAATTCAACCTCTTTGACTCTCGGCTGGTTGGACTCCATTGTAACCTTTGCTTGTTTCAGGTTCTACGATAAATCACTTCTCTAGAAATGCAGTAAAGATTTGATGTCAATCTCCAAAAGAAATGAGCATCAAACAAAGTTGAAAATCTTACTGTGAACTGCGAAATAAATTCTCAAGAGACAAGTATCACCAACGGCTGCTAAACGCTTGTGATGAAAGTAGATCTATGTGAGGAGCTTATAATCATTGGTGATGTCAGAATTCTGCTTTTGGAGTTATATTGTTATGTCACATTGTGATGTCACAGCAATCTTGCACCTCAACAGACTGAAATTGTTCTGAAATGTTCTATTTCAGAATCATATGCCACTTTGTAATGGTCCACCTTTTGAAATAACCATAAAGTATACAGCAGTTTGTGTTTCTAATGTGTCAAGTAGGAGACTTTAAGGGTTAATCATTTTTGCATGAAAACAAAAACCTCAATAAAGGAATGTTTCACAAAAACAGTAATCATGATGTCTAGACAATGTATTTAAGCAAAACAAAACAAAAATGTGTATTTATCAGAAATACATAGAATTACACATGGATGTTAGTGAACAACTGTTGAATAAAAATACAGTAGACCGTAAAGTCATGTATAAATCACTTTATTTTGAAACTCTCACAAGAAAACCTGAAGATCCCAAAAACCAGGTCTTCTTTTGACCTTATGTAGTTCCATATTCTCCACTATTATTAATAATTTTGGTGTGTCCCAGTGTAAACAGTCTTTTCGAGGCATTGTGAAAGTATTTGTCCTGAGTTAATGAATGAATGAATTTGGTTTGTCACATTTCTAAGCTTTAAAAGTTTCCCTTTCTGCCCACTTTAAAGTGTTTTGGGCTAAATTGTAAGTAAGAAATTATTTTTTTCTTGTGTGAAATAAAAGTTGAACTAAGTGACTAATTTGTTGAATGATTGTTTAATATTAGAGATGCAGTGTCGACCCAAATGTTCCTGATTGCAGTTAGTATTTATATTCAGCAGGTGGCAGTGTTGCCCAACACATATATTCAACATCTTCCGTGTTTCTGGTCACACAGCTAAAATCCTGCCATCATCTTACTAGGCTCTATAAGTTTTACAACGTTTTTTTTTCTTTTTGCCTTTTGTTTTGTTTTGTCTCCATGACTGACATGCAGGAAAATGAAAGAATATGTCTGTTTTGTTTTGATCAATGTCACACATGTTGCAAATTGTGGTTAATCTTTGTGGGCAGCTTTTGTTCATTTTTCTTTGCTCTCTTTGTGCCAACATGCAATATTTTGCCACCTCAAACAAATGTGTTTATATGTTGTTTGAGTGGCATTAAATAACCCTTATTAAAAGCTGAAAACATGATTGTGGCAAAATGTGAAATTAGCTAAAACCACATGACAGATGAATTCTGAACACATTTTTAGATCTTTTGGTACAAGTTTAAAATATACACTGCATGATTCTTGCTGTTTATTATTTGTCCTGGTTTATAGTTGTAAAAGATGCAACCTTTTATTTTCTAAGCAAGGTTTGCTCTCTTTTAAGTTAGTTAAGATGACCACAATCATCAGTTTTTGTTAAATGGTAGGAAAACGAGACATAACTTTTTAGTAGTTGTTTTTATACACTTGGGAAAAAGACAGATTTCTCCCAATTTGGTAGAGTCGCCTTTAAACTGTTTGACTTGGGTCAAACATTTTGGGTTTCCTTCCACCAGTTTATAGTTTCCTGGAATTTTGACCCATTCCTCCTCAAAGTCCTGCGGTAACTCAGTCAGGTTTGTACGCTGTCTTGCTCTTAAACCTTTTTTTGTTTTAACCACACATTTGGCTTTCAGATGACGAATCTTAAATTTTGACTTTGTTGTCCCTAAGCCACTTTGAACCAACTCAGTGGTACTCTGTGGGTCATTGCCCATCTTGAACCATTTGGTTCCAAGCTCTAACTGGCTGATGTCCTAAGATGCTGCTTTAACACAATGTTAATTTCTCTTGATGTCATCTATTTTGTGAAGTGCACCAATCCTTCCAGCAGCAATACAATGTGACAGTTAGAATAATGCACTCAGGTTTGCATTTTCTGCCTTTTCTTTTCAGATGTTGCAGTTGTCATTATGGTCAAGCCAAACACAGGATCAATTTCCAGAAGCTAATATCTGTGCTTCTCATTGTTTTAGCAAACTGTGTTTTGATTTTTAAATGCTGGGTCTGCAGTTATGGCTTCTTCCTTGGTCTTCTTCAGGTCTTTTGCTTTTGTTCTGGGGTTGGTCAACACTATTTCACAGAGGAAAGGAGCAGTGTCTTC